AATCCTGACCTTGTCTGGACACCTGGGCTCTCCTTCTGAAAGCCCAGAAACCCCCACTATCTCCTCATGTCACTCCATGCTTGAAACAACCCAAGGTTTCCTTGCCACATTTAGAACTGCAACCAACCTATTCCTCCCCATCTCCTGGCTACCTGGCTAACAACCTCCCACCCCTTTCTCTCACTCCCCATACTCCAGAGACACCAGCTCTTCCATGGGCTCACCAAGACCACTCCTTGTCCAGGGCCTTTGCACCTGCTCTTCCCTCTGCCAGGAACATCCTTCCCCCACAGTCACGTGGCTCTGTCCCTCCCTCTCTTTAGGTCTCTGCTCAGATATCACCTCCTCAGTGAGTCCCTGCCTCATCACCTTAATCTTAAATATCGCTGCCAGTCACTCGGTCCCCTCAACCTGCTTCTTTTTTCTGTAAACACTATAGCACTGACATTATATAAGAACTTAGTATTTACTTGTCATCCTCACATGAATGTCAGCTTCCTCAGAGTGGGGACACGGGCATCCTCAACACTTAATAACTGGTACATAGTAAGCAGTTTATATTTGGAAAATGGACAAATGCTATGAGATAGGGACCCAGCTAGATGTCTTATGTGGATATTAAGAATAGCTCCTCACAGCCCTCTGATGAGGTGGTATTTTTATTTTACAGATGCAGAAACTAGCATTCGCAGACTATTCCAAAGGCTGTTAAGTAGCAGAACTAGAACTGAGTTCCAGTCTGACTACATTATTTTCCACCTCCTGGAAGGACTACAGGAGAGCACGATTGCCACAACCTGCCCACAGAGTGACAGAGCAAGACCACAAGGGAAATGAGCCATACATGCCACGAACAGGGAAGGGACAAGCAGAGGCTCCATAACTTCCCAACACCAAACCTACACTGCCCTAGAATCTTCTCATGGTGTAAATGCCTGGTTTGGGAGCAGAGAGACATGAATGGGGAGGAAAACAGCATGCGGATTTTGAGCACAAACTGGTGGGGCGGGAAGATGACATCTGACAGACTCAGGCTGGGACCAATTGTGATGTGCAAAAACCAGCCAATCATTGCACCTCTACAAGCCTTAGTTTCCTTGGCAGTAAAGCCAAGATAATGACATCAGCTTAGCACAGTGCATATGAAGCACTCAGTAAGTGATCATTTCTTAATTTCTATTATGATCATTACAATTAGAATCACAACTCTGTCACCCACTAGCTAGCTGTGTGACCTTGAGCCAGTCACTTCCCCTCCCTGGGCATCTTGTCTTCTCTTCTGTAAAAAGGTTCAACAATCCCCACCATGTAGAGCAGGTCAGGTAAGTGCATGGTACCCTAGAGGCATCTGGCCTCCAACCACTTGCTTCCCCCAATCAAGTTGATGCCATTTCTGGGCCCCCACTTTTCCCATTGAATCTTCTCCCACAGGCCTTCCCAAGAGAGGAGCCACACCTCCCTGCAGTTGGGACAAGGTCACTGAAGCTTCCCTTGGGGAATGGGCTTCACTGTCCTGGGGAGAGGGGGCCTGTCTGTCTCCCGAAACCGAGGGAGAGAGGGCTGGGCAGGCGCACCTTGTCTTGCAGGAACAGCAGCACATTGCGGGGGCCCAGCTCCAGGGCGGGGTCTAAGTAAGTAGAGAGCTGCAAGTCGCTGGTGATGTGGCCCTCATGGGTGTCGGTCGCAGGAGCCCACAAGTCCCTGCCAGTGGACAGAAGAGGTGCTGTCAAGCGGGGGTGCATGGCTTGAGATCCAAAGCCCGCGAGCTCCCATCTTGAAGTGTGGGTCCCGGAGCTCTGACCCGGCCGACTCTCTCTGGGCCGCCGAGCAAGGGAAAGTCCCCTCTGGGCCTCGCAGCTTCTTGCCGAGTCGGGCGAGGGCACCCTAACCGCCACGCTGCGCAGCGCGGCCCGCCCCAGCCCACCACCCCGCTCACCGGTCACTCGACCACAGCACCAGCGGCACTTGCTGCTCCGTCGCTGCCGCCGCCACCAGAAACAGTGACAACAACCGCATTTGCCAGAACGCCGGGACACGCTTCGTCCCCTCCCGCACCCAAGCCGCCACCTTCACCGCCATCACAGCTTCAGCTTCCACAACCTCGGCCACCACTGCCGCCACAGATCAGGTGACCCTCGCCCCCGCCCGAGCTCCGCCCCGCACCACCATTGGCCAGAGTGTAGGCCTGGGACCCAAGCCACAGGAGAGATTGAACGAAGTGCCTGCCACTCACAGCCGCTCCTTTTCACTGATTGGCCATACGTGTCTCTAGGCGCGCACGCTCCTCGTAGGAAAGAGGTTGGGCTCAGCCAACTGCCAACGCCACCTAGCGGACGGCAGCTGACACACACAGGACAGGCGGGGCGGGGACAGCGGGAGGCCTGGAAGGGCTTCCGCTCCACAGGTCCCCGCACCCCCGGGTTCGCCCCTGTTTTAATCTTTCCGCTTAAAATGTCAAGAGTGAGTGCCTGGGGAGGGCATGGAAGCGCCGCCCCCTTTCTCCGTATTTTGCCCTGTGCATCTCTTCGTCTGGCTGTTGCTGAGTTGCGCAAGAGGTGTGATGCTGGCAATTCAGATGTGCCAAAGAGAAGCCGTAAAATACTTCCTTTAAGTGAAAAGCTTCTATGTAGAATTGTTGGAATGATCTTTGTGTACAAGAGTTCCAGAGTTGCTGGAAAGTGGAAACTGTATACCTTCAAACTTCACTTCTGTGCAAGGGGAGTGATACAAGCTTTATCTGTAGAGGACAATGGATAGCATCGGAAAGGAAGATGCTGTCCTTCCTGCTCCTGTCTGTGTGTGCACCCATCATCCACAGCTTGCTTGCTCTCCAAAGAGTTGTTCCTGCAGCTCTTGGTAACTGTAAACCAACTCTGGCCTGGGCAACCCAGTGAACTTCTATACTATCCAGAGGGCTGAAACGACATCTTTTAGTGAGAACCCACCCTTCCAAGGAAGTTTGTCCTTCTTTGGATATACTCCCTTTAGAGTTTGCTGTTTACCTTTAAAGTTACTCTCCTATTATTGCTTAATAATTTTTATTTTTTAAAATATCTTTTAAAAAGTATTTCATGACCTTAGAGAAGAAGAGAGAGAAACATCAATCAGCTGCCTCGGATACGCGCCCTGACCGGGTACCAAACCCCTAACCTAGGTCTGTGCTCTGACCAGGAACAAACCCTTGATCTTTCAGTGTACGGGACAATGCACCAACCAATTGAACCACACCAGCCAGAGCTTAATAATTTTTACATTGAAAGTTCCATATTTAAATTACTGTGTGTTGGGAGACCAATTCCCCTGTATTTCTTGGCATTCCTGCACGGCTGGGGCCTTCTGAGCAAAGAAAATTGATAAGCGATGATAAATATGTCTCCTTTCCTAGAGACATTCTAAGATCATTAAAAATTTCCTTCTTTCTAGAGATTTGCTTTTAGCTTACATTTAGAGCAATAAATCTGGAGATGGCTTCCCCCTCCCTAGGGAGGATTTGTTTAATTCCAGAATAAAGATGAGGGGTGTGTGTGTGTGTGAGTGTGTGTGTGTGTGTGTGTGTCTCTTGGGTGGCAGAGGTGCCGGAAATGCTACATAGCTCTCAGTGTCATAATTTCAGGGTTCCTCTCCTGTGGGTACAACTCTCTACATACATGTGCAAGGTAACCAGCACTAAAATGTTCTATGAGTAATAAACTCTGTTCTATGAAAAAAATCCAATTTTCCTGCAGATGGACCCTCTGTAGGGAGAGAAGAGAGCCCAGGATAACATCCAGAGGAACACCAGCACTTATAATGAGCAGGGAGGAAGACAATCCGGAAGAGATATTGAAGGAGCAGGAAAGATGAGGACAGAAAACTGTTTCTTGGAGTTAGCAACAACTGGAGACTTTGGTGAGAAACACTGGTGTAAAGAAATACAGACATGGTATACGATTGTTCTCTCTCGATGTTTGCCTTAAAGAGAGGAAAGAGACAGAGTGACAGCTAAAGTCAGAAGATGTGAGGCACTGTCTCGGATGAAATTGAGAGACTCATTTTTTCCTGTGCCTTTTTTTTTTAATTTCTCAGATTGGTGACTAGTAGAAACAAACAAACAGACAAAACCCCCAATAACTATAGCCAAATATTGAACTCTCACTAAGGATATGTATACTGATTTATTTGGGAGGAAGTGAACTGATGTCTGTAACTTAGTTTGAAATGCACCAAAAATAAAATGAAGAGAAGCATTGGTACAGAGATAGGTGATAAAGCAATGATAATAAAATGTTAATGGCAGGATCTAGGGAGTGGATAGGATATATGGGGGTTCACTGTAAGCTTTTTTTTTTTTAATCATCACCCGAAGAGATATTTTTATTGATTTTTTTTTTGAGAGAGAGAAACATCAATGTGAGTGGGAACCATCAATTGGTTGCCTCCCATACATGCCCCAACTGGGGATCAAACCCGCAACCTAGGTATGTGCCCTGATCGGGGATCGAACCAGCAACCTTTTGGTGCATGGGAGGGTGCTCCAACCAACTGAAGCACCTGGCCAGAGCACTGTAAGCTTTTTTTTGACATTGCTATGTATGTGCTGGATTGAATGGTATCCCCCTAAATTTCATGTCCATCTAGAACTTGTAAATGTAACCTAATTTGGAAATAGGATCTTTGCAGATGTAGTCTAGATAAAGTCCTGCCAGATTAGAGTGTTGTCCTTATAAAAAGAGGAAAATTTGGGCACAGACACACAGGGAAGATGGCCAATTGACGATGATGGAGACAGATTAGTGATGCAGCTACCAACCAAGGAACTCCTGCAGAAGCTGCGAGTGGCAAGGAATGGTTCTTCCCCAGAGCTCTTAGAGGAAGCAGGCCCTGTTGACACTTGTTTTTGAAGGTTCCAAATGCACTTTATTTCTTCAGTCATGCCATATTTTAATGGGTACACCGTGCTTTCACTTGGCATCAGTATGAGTTGGTTTTGAGACAGTTCATTATTACAACAGCTGGAATGATTACTGATCTCTCCATTCCTTTGGGGTGACTCTGCCAACAGGGGACAGGTTCCATTTTGTTCCAGTTTGTGTTGCTGTATATACCCATGCAGCAACACAGAAAGCATTACCACATTTGTCATGGAAATCAGGTGTCAGTTTCTGGTTGCTCTGCCTTACCGTTATTTGCTGAATGCTATGGACCGGGAGACAACTTAGTGTGTTTTCGGCCAGTGGAAACATCGTGAAGCTGAAGACAGAACTCCAGCAACTACAGCTGCTCGTTTGTTGGAACTTCCCATCTAGTACCCTTGCAAAGAACCCCTGTTGACACTTTGATTTTGGACTTCTAGCCTCCAGAACAGAAGAGGATAAATTTCCACTGTTTTAAACTGCCCAGTTTGTGGTAATGTTACAGCAGCCCTAGGAAACTAATACACTATATGTTTGACATTTTAAAAAATATTTTAAAATTTATTTTTAGAGAGAGGATATGGGAAGGAGAAAGAGAGGGAGAGAAATATCAACGTGCAAGAGAAATATCAATTGATTGCCTCTCACATGCCCCTGACTGGGGATCTGGCCCGCAACCCGGGTATTTTGCTGTGTATAATGCGTGCACCCTTATTTTTCCCTCACAAATTTGGGCAAAAAAGTGTGCCTTATACACAGCCAAATACAGTATGTGTCCTGACCCCCTGAGCAGGAAACCAATCTGCAGCCTTTTGGTCTGCGGGACAATGCCCAACCCACTGAACCACACCAGTCAGGGCTGGTTTGACATTTTTGTTAACAAAGATACATGGAACACTAGCTGGTGTGGCTCAGTGGATTGAGTGCCGGCCTGCGAACCAAAGGGTCACTGGTTCGATTCCTAGTCAGGGCACATGGCTGGGTTGCAGGCCAGGTCTGCAGTTGGGGCATGTGAGAAGCAACCACACATTGATGTTTCTCTCCCTCTCTTTTTCCCTCCCTTCCCCTCTCTCTAAAAATAAATAAATAAAATCTTTAAGAAAATACATAGAGAAGAAAGTTTAATATTGCCCATTGTCTGTTGTCGGCAAGGATGTAATGGAATCTCACCTACACAGTGGTGAAGAATGTCAGTTGGTAGAACCTTTTTTTGGAGGGTAATTTGGCAGCATCTAACAAAGTATAAAATGTGTATGACCTTTAACCAAGCAATTTTCCTCCTAACGATCCATAATACGAACACTCAGCTGAGCAAAATGTGCACATACAAAGAGGTCCGTTTCAGCATCATTTGTAGTTGAAAAAGCTAGGCACTGATAACTGGATACTGCGACGCTGTGCTCAGTCACTACTTTCACCCCTTCCCCTCAAACACAGGATGTTTATGAGCTGACCCAGAAGGCTGCCGAAGGAAACCAACACCCCCAGGGCCATGCCTCTGAAGGGCGGAATTCAATCTGCGTGCAGAGCCCTCGATATAGTGCAGGAGGGCATACCAGAAGGAGGGGCTCCATGCGGGGCCCCACCATACCGCCTACGCAATGACTCCCTCCCAGCCTCGCGTAGCTGACAGTCCATTGATCACCTCCACGTGTCCAAGAAACTGCCTATGAGACTGTAGTCATCACAAGTGTGGCTTGGATGGGGATGGTGGCAATTGAGTTGGAGAGAAGAGGTGTACTTCACAGGACACGGTCAAGGAAGAAGGTGGCTGGGGACTGAGAGATGAGGTCAGTTGAGAACAGGTACGTTTGCATTGTTCGTGGGGACTTTGAGATATTATGAATTATAAGATATTCGGTGCTCTCTACAGTTCCTGGCTCACAGCTCCCCAGACCTTTGGAATTTTCTGTGTTGAGAGTGATCAAGGTGTCTTTGTTATCTTAATGAAGTGACCTTTTGAAAACACCTAAGGATGGTGGAGCCAACCCTGTGATTAGAGGGCTGGAACTTTCAGTGCTACCCCCTGACCTCCGGGAAGGGAGAGCGGCTGGAGGTTGGGTTCAGTTGCTAATGGCCAATGATTTAGTCAATCATGACTATGTAACAAAGCTCCATTAAAAACCCAGGAGGGCAGCTAATAAAGCAATAATCTAGTAAGTAACATGTTTCTCAGAGTTCTGTGAATTGTTCTAGCAAGTTAATTGAAGCCAAGGAGGGCATCTTTGGAACCTCCAGTCAATCAGAAGCACAGATGAGAGCCTGAGCTTGCAACTGGCATTCAAAGTAGGGGGTGATTTTGTGAGACTGAGCCCTCAGCCTGTGGATTTGACTCTCAATCCAGGTAGGTAGTGTCAGGGTTGAGTTGAATCCTCAGACACTCTGCTGGTGTCCAAGAACTGCTTGTTGGTTGGGGAAGCCTCCACACACACATTCGAATTGGGTCCAGAAACCCCATTCAGGTCCCCAAATGTCAACATCCAGGCCAGCTGAGGGGAGAAGTTTGCCGTGGAGTTTACTGTAGCCCCAGAAGCCCAGGAGGAGGTCTGATTTGTATTTTTTTTAAGATTTTATTTCTTTATTTCCAGACAGAGGGGAAGGGAAGGAGAGAGGGAAACATCCACATGTAGTTGCCTCACACACACCCCCTACTGGGGACCTGGCCCACAACCCAGGTGTGTGCCCCAACCGGGAACCAAACCTGCGACCCTCCAGTTCATAGGCCGTTGCTCAATCCACTGAGGCACACCAGCCAGGGCTGATTTGTATTTAAAAGGGCTGATCTGGCTGTGGTGAGCAGAACAAGATAAGAGAGGATAAAAGTGGCAGCAGGAGACCGTTGCCATCTCTGGGAGAGAGATGACAGGGGATCTGGCCACTGAAATGGAGGGGCAGAGAGATAGAGCCAAAAAGACTACAAAGGTCAGTGCCTCGGTATTGGTTTGGGACTGAGGTTTGACCGGGTGGCATGATGGCAGAACAGGGGCAGGGACCCTGGGAGAAGTGGGAAGTCAGAGCAGGAGCGGCCAGTGGGTGGGGAAAGGCTCGCTCTTGTTGTCACCCTGGGGCTCAATCACATTTCCTCAGTCACCGATAGTCCTATAGAGCCTGCTCTCCGTAACAGTGCCGCAGGAGTTGAAGCTGTCCTGAGAAGGGACAAACACTCTTCAGGCCAGGAAAGTGGTGAGACAGAGTGACAAGAGGAGTTGATGGCCATAGGCAAACCTGGGAACACGAATGACACCATTTAAATCGTTTGAAGGCAAAGACTTTCTCTCAAGTCTGATCTTGCTGGCCAGGGGCCTCTTGCTGAAATGCTTCCATCCCAGGGGGATAAACTCCTTTGTGACTGCTTTGGTTCTTCCCTGAGCTGTGGGATGTCCCTGGGGCGGTAACCCTCACCACTTCCTGAAGCACTTGCTATGGGCCAGACACTGAGTCAGACTTGGACCCCGGTCTTCAAGTTCACGTTCTGGGTGATGGATATTCACCCAGGGGGAGACACTGGGCTGGAAGGGAGGCACAGAGAGAGGTACCCACCTGAAGCTGCTTTGATCACAGGTGACATTTAAGCTGAGTCATTCACCAAATGATGACAGCACCCATAAGCACCTGCCTCCCCGCCCCCGGAAGTAAGCACTAGACTAAATAGGGTGTTTATCATTCACTCTTTCTTTTTCCGTAGTAGATTGGCCACTTATGTGTATGTGCCCCTAAACAGTCTAATGCTTAGTCTGCTCGTACTTGAATTTGATAAAATGTCATCACACTGTCCTGTCCATAGCGCTATGCAAGGAACACAGGTAGCATTGTACCACCGCTGCATACTCCAGTGTGTGAGCCTTCCAGGACTGTGGCTCCCTTCCCCCTCTGGTGGATGCAGGCGCTGCTTCCCCATGTTCCCACTGTTTGCCAAGAGGCTCTTTGTGAGCTACGGATACAAGATGTCTCGGGTACCAAGACAGATGGGATCGCTCACAATTATTCAGTCTCCCTCTTCCCTTTAGGAGGGATCCTCCTTGCTCATTGTCAAGCAACAGACAAACTGGAAGTGCCAGGTGCTTGTTTTGTTTTTTTTTTCCAAAGATTTTATTTATTTATTTCTAGAGAGAGGGGAAGGGAGGGAGAAAGACAGAAAAACATCGATTTGAGTTGTGCAAGAGATACATCAATCTGATCCATTGCCTCTCGCCTGCTCACAACTGGGGGCCTGGCCTGCAACCCAGACATGTGCCCTGACTGGGAATCGAACCAGTGACCTTGTGGTTCACAGGTCAACACTCAATCCACTGAGCCACACCAGCCAGGGCTGGAAGTGCCAGTTTTAAGGGCACCCCACCATAGCTGTGATCAGGATCTTTCAGCACTGGGGGAACAAGTGACTAGGCACTGGAACGTGAGTGGTGAAACCTCCAAACCACACATTGCACTGGCTGTGAGAAAGAAGCGAAGGGCGAGGAAGGGGGCCACCACCTCACCCCTGCGTTCTAAGTTGCCTGAATACATCTTCCAAGCAAGGTGGAATCCACGCCCAGAGCCTGTTCGCCCCGACCACCTCGCAGCCCTTCCCAGACTTGCCTTCCCTGCACACTCCCTGCTCCCCTCACACACTGGCCTGACCCACATGCTAACAAAACAAAAACAAAAAAAACAAACAGAAAATGCACAGAACAAAGATGTGCAGGGCAATGACTTCTCCCAGCAAACACTCCCTTGGCAGCACCCAGGTTGAGAACTGGAGCATCTGCACCCCGAAAGCCCCTCCCATTTCCCCTCCCATCACTTCCTTCTCCTTTCCCCCAAAGTGACCATGAACTTGATTTTTGTGATAATCATTTTGGTGTCCATGATTTTTGTGGCAGTCAGTTTGGGTTGCTATAACAGAATGCCACAGACTGGATGGCTCATAAACAGCAGAAATTGATTGCTTACCGTTCTGGAGGCTGAAATCTGAGAGCAGGGTGCCAGAAGGATGGAGGGAGGGCCTTCTTCCAGGTTGCAGACCTCTGGTTGTATCCTTACTTGGCACAAGGGGTGAGGCAATCTCTCTGGAGGCTCTTTTATAGGGTACTAATGCCATCACGAGAGCTCCACCCTCATGACCTAAAGCATCTCCCACAGGACCCACCTCCTACTATTCAACATTTGAATTTGGGCGGGGGGACACAAACATATAGACTACAGTACCAGTTAACCATGGGTCGCTAAACATGATGGTTTTCTTTTGTCCTGAGACCTTATATAAATGGAATTCTTCAGTATTATATTTTGTGTCTGGATTCTCTGCTCAAGATTAAGAAGTTAATGTGAATCATTGCATAATAGCAGTA